ACGAAATTAATGGGCTATGATTTTGAAGTAAAATATAAAAAAGGTATTTTTAATAGGGCCGCGGATCATCTATCGCGTTATCCCAGTTCAAGTGAACTAATTAATATTTTAAATTCGAATATTAAAAATGATATTTTTAAAATAAATCTTGTTCAACCTATTAATATCGCTGTAGAAAAAGCAAATGATGCGTACTTGCATAACATTATAGGAGCTATTAAAAACCCTATCTCGTCAAATTCGTTTTATTTAAATAAGGCCAACAATTATGAAATAAAGGATAATGATATATTGTATTACAAAACGAAAATTAGACAAATCCCTGTATACGCACTTGCTTTACCTTCAAAATTTATTAAACAGGTAATAATTGATAATCATGATAGTTTATTAAGCGGGCATATCAGTTTTTCAAAAACACTAAACAAAATTAGGAGTAAATATTACTGGCCAAAAATGAGAAAAGATATAAAGTCATATGTTCTGTCCTGTGAAAGGTGTCAAAAGAGGAAACCATATAAACAAAGTAAGCCACCGAAAGTAGGGAGATACGATTTAGACAAGTGTGAGATTATGAGTGAAATAATTATTGACTATGTTGGTCCCCTTCCAAAGTCGAGATCTTATAAGTATATTTTAGTAGCTACTGATCGTTTATCAAAATTTTGCGTAGCTCAACCATTTACAAATGCCAATGCGCGTAGTACCAACAAATTTCTTTTAGACTTATTCTTAAGATTTGGTCCAGCTAGGATAATTAGGTCAGATAATGGAACTCATTTTACGTCAAAGACAGTTTTAGACCTAATGGACGCTTTTGGGGTAGACAAAAAATTCGGAATTCCGTATAAGCCTACTTCACAAGGTCAGGTGGAGAGGCAAAATCAAACAGTTATAGACATGATATCACATTACGTTCAGGATAACAATAAGTGGGTAGATTATTTACCATACGTTGTATACGCCTATAATACTTCAATACATTCGGTTACAAATTATACGCCATTTTATTTAGTTCACGGCTATAATCCTAAAAGCATGTTTGATATTGCACTAATTTCCCCTTCCGATGGGAACGTTATCGATGAAATTAATAAAATCAAACATATTAGGAAATCATTACCCCAATTATTAGAGAAACAATCCGAACAAACTAAACAAAAACTATTATCATCGAATAATTTTCAATCATTTAAAACGGGAGACAAAGTCTTAGTCAAAGTTCCGGTAAAGGGTAATAAAATTTCAGAAAGGTATGAAGGCCCTTATGTTATTTTAAAGAAAATAGGTCCATATAGTTTTTTGATAAATCTGCCAAAAAACAATATTTTGGTCGAGTCGCCTGTTCACGTAGACCAGTTAAAACCGTTCGTTGCTAGAATATAAAATTCCGTCAAAATCTCAGGTCGGGCCCATAACTAAATTATTAGAAAGGCAGGTAGCAAGAGGAAGATATGAAGAAAATTAGAGATTTTGGCGCAACATAGGAATACCCACAAATTGTGTCACATGTATTATAATTGGATTGGAACTATGCGAGGGAAGCCCGGTATGGTTTAGAGGTTTGGATAATCTATTTTTTATCATATAATCATTTTCTGCCATTCTGAAAAGATTTCCAACAGGTAGGGAGCGCGCATTCGAACAATATGTCAAAAAAAAGCATACGTAAACAATATGATAATTTTCGAACTAAAGGCGTTATGCCTACTCCCCGGTATAAACAGTGTAGTGTTTTGGTGTTTATATTTATTACAAAATACTACAATTAAAATTTATAATAATTAATAATTTTTAATAATGAAAAATGATTTTATACAACATAAAAAAAGAGTACAAATAAAAAGTGTCACTGGATTGACGAACAGCGCGAGAATAAAAAAAATACACGGAGTGTTATCGTACTGCAGTACATCTAAGATAAAACATATAAACATATATAAAAGCATTCATTGTGACATGTTATTTAACATCTTTGTTAATCCCTACAACAGTCTTGCTGCGACAACGATCACCAACGCCTACCGAGATTTCAATTACTGTTATATTATAGTGCGATTTTTGGAAATATTATTAACTTCAATTATATTCAAATTACATAAATATATTCTTCACCCTTGAGTGCCGTGCAACCGAAGTACTAGATTAATAAATAACATTTATTTGGATTAACCTTTACTCAGGTACGAAAGATTTATTAAAATGGCTTTTAGGAGATTTTTTTNAAAGTACTAGATTAATAAATAACATTTATTTGGATTAACCTTTACTCAGGTACGAAAGATTTATTAAAATTGCTTTTAGGAGATTTTTTTTAGTGTTACTAACAATTTTGTATCCCCGTGGCGACTGTAAAAATTTTTCTGTAATCCCCATCGATTCTTTAGGAATATATTTTGAAACCCTAGACACAATTCAGTTTTCAAGAGACACTTATAAATTACTGATATTTGTAGATATCATAAATTATGAATCGAAATTTTTACAAATACATTCAATCAATTATCAACTAAATAAAATTTGTAACGACCATAACAATTCGAAAAGTATTTCATTAATATGCCAAGATTATGATACTCTGAATAAATATAACATCTTAGAAATGGATAGGCACTACAATAACTTNTTTAGAAATGGATAGACACTACAATAACTTATTACAACTCAAAGATAAAAGATCTAGACGGGCATTAATTAATATAATTGGGAATTTCAATAGATATGTATTCGGTAATGAGGACGATCTTAATGACATTAACAACCATCTAAACAATAATTCCGACCAAATAGCCCAAGCATTGAAACTTCAGAAGCATCAAACAATTATTATGCAATCAGGTCTCAACGTTATAAAAAATTTCAGTGGTATATTGCAGAATAATACCTTAAATTTAAGGCATAGTATTAACTCTTTAATCGACGCACAAAATAATATTACTTCGCAAATTTCCGAGCTAGAAATCGAGCAAACATTACAACAACATTTCGCAATTTTAAACCTTATTGTTTCAGAATTCAATCTTGAAACTAATGACCTTATTTCGGCAATATCTATGGCACGCCATGGTCAAATTCACCCAAACGTACTAGACCCCGTCACCTTAATCTCTCGTTTACAATTTATAGAACGCAACCTCCCCACTAACAAGCAACTTCCAATACAAATTAAGGAAATTAATAACATTTTTGATTTAATCAATCTAACGAAATTATCGATCGCGTTTATGGATAACAAACTGATTTATAAAATTTCGATACCCATCTGCGATACAGTAAAATATAGTTTATTACAAACAATTCCTTTACCCATGTATATCGCTAAACATCAATTCGTCTTAATCCAGCCAACTTATCAATTTATAGCCGTCTCTGCTAATAACGACAGTTTCATTCCATTTTCAGAAAAAAACCTGGCCGATTGTCATACAAATAAATTTCTTACAATTTGCGAATTTCCGCCAATATCAAACCGGAAGCGCCTAACTAACTGTGAAACACTTATTTATTTAAAACCACATATTACTCCTGAAAAATGTAATATTAAACACAATTCTTCAAAATTCGAAAGCTTTCATAAATTGCATTCACATAACGCGTGGATATATATGGCACCTGAGTCCATCGAAATAACCATAATTTGCGGGGAAAATTCATATACGGAAGAATTAATAAAAACCGGAATTTTGACGCTAAACGCGGGGTGTCTAGTCCATACACCTAATAACATCCTAGCAACACACACATTTATTAAACAATCATTCCAAACAAATTTCGTGCCCCAATTAACATTATCAAATAATAGTTTATTTTTACCGAAATTTGATAAAATCAATAATTCACCGGCCATTATAAAACCCAACATAATCCCCATCGATTCTGGATTACATGAACTAGGGAAATATTCGGAAAATTTGGATGACGTCATCAAAACTATCGAGGCCACAGAAAAACAATAGAATTTGAGAATGCAATTAAAAATAATCAGATATTGTTCCTCATTATCCTATTTTTATCGGATATATACTTTTATATTTTATACCTAGATATATTAGGGGCAAATGCACGCATTCCCCCCGCACGGAGCCTCCAGTAGTTTATTCTACGCGCGACGAACGATACATCCGCTAAAATCTTAACCGCTTATTTCCTCACTATTTTCTACATTATAAATTCAAATTTTCACTAAATAAAATTTACAATATACAATCATAAACCATTGTGTCATTATTCTATAGCTATGGACACATTTTACAATGGTAAACTTATTCTCATCAACGTTTCCATCGAACAATTCTTTTAATCCTCGAGTGGGGCACTCGCCCACTGCGCCAGCAGCGACTTCGACAATCCCAGGAGAATGTCCCGAGGAGTAGCCACATTATTTAGTAAACAATTCGGTAAGCCAACAAGGTCCACTAGGATATCCAAACATTTGTGCGTTCAATCTACTAGACAAAATATTATATTAACAATGCTAACAAAGCCGCGTTTCAATAGTAAACCATACCTACAAGATTACTCAAATGCAATTTCGGAATTAGCAAATTTTCTTACACAAAACAATATATGGTTCGTTACAATCCCTCCCATAGGGATGAATAGGGATAAAATTCCAGTGACATTCGGATTAATGTGTATCACCACCATCCTTATAGGTAGAGGCATTTCCGTCCGCTTATGTGCCACAGGACAACTACACAACGAGATTAAGACGTATCTTAACTATCTGTAATTTTATTATTATACTTATTTATGATATTTATATACATATTTCTATTAATTAAAAAGTTACTTACGCATGGACTTTTATTTATTCTGGTTTTACTCCTTACCACACTTTCACCTTCATATGTTAATACATAGGTCATTTAGGTGTTCGATAACTAGGTCAAATTATTAACCTCTATAGTGTATACGTTGCATTCACCTAGTTGACATTTTACCATCTTCGCGATCACTACTTTTGCCTGATAATTAACTTAACTTCGCGACCCCGTATATTATAGTGTGTGTGTGTGTCGCCGTCAGCTCCCTGTTGGATTATAACATCTCTAGGTGTCCAGCAGGTTGTATTATCTATTTAATATTTCAATTGTTTAATAAATATTTATTTATATCGTTGTTAACCTAAAGTGTTATATATATATAT